GCATGCCAACTATACCTATAGTTCTCATCTACATAACATGGGCTTTTCCCAAATTACATAATATATCACATAGACATATCATTTCCTTACCTTCATCACATGGCTCATATAACTTTGCATACATATTCATTTAAAACATGTTACAATGTACATAGTATGAATTCATATCATGCTTCGCATATGAATGAATCATGCATCAATGTATTGAATCTAGACTTCTCACAAGTTTAGAACTGAATATATCTTTATAATCATGTTATGCATATGCACTCACCTATATTTTCTTGTTTTTTCCTCGATCGATCTTACTAGGCAATTGTTCTAGAACTTGTTTAGGCTTTGTATCTACATAGTAATTCATTGATACTTATCAGTATACTAATTAATATATTCTAAACTATCATTTCTTGGGCTAAAAGAAAAGCCATTTTCATCTTTTAATGAAGGTATGCATCGATACACTACACCATGTATCAATGCATCCCTTGACGGGTGCATCGATGCACTATCTATGCATCGATACAGAAATCATATTCGATGTTTGTATTTAAGGGGGTGTATCGATGCACTACTTGTGCATCGATACACTGATGGCATTCGATGTTTTTATTTTAAAGGTATGCATCGATGCACTTCCTGTGCATCGGTACACATTGAATGTACATTGATGCACGTAGCCTAGAAATGTCATTTTAGCACGAAAATCTCTTCATCATCTTCTCAACACCTTGCATACACTTACTTAAACTAATTATTATCCATTCAATACTTCTAAAACTTAGAAATCCAATCCTCCATATGTAATTTAAGAATCTCACTCAAATTCCAACATGTTCTAATTTTAATTCTAATACTTCCTATTTATTAATTAGCTTGATGACAAGTCAAATCCCACTTCTAATTCTTATTATGAACTCTATTCCAAGATTTCACTTTTCTACTTCATTTCTTTAATCCTTCCTAACTCCATCATCTTTTGATTTTAAGATAACCTAAGCTTTCTTTAAGCTTAGATATCATCTAATGATCAATAAGCAACCTTAAATTCATCAATAATTTGATTAACAAGAAAACTCACCTTTAGTTTGGCTTCACGATGGAGAAGAAGAATGAAGAAGAAGAGAAGTCTGAAACTTTAGTTATCCCTTAATTGCCTTCCACGTGGGTATAAAATATCCTCAACTAATATTTAATTATTTCACTTATTAAAAGACTCATTTACCCCTTTAGTTCCTCATTCTTTGTTAATTGATCCTACACAAAACATTTCAATCAATTCTTTGAAATTTTTAATTTATCCAATTAGGTCACTAAATTTTTAAATCTCACATTTTAATCACTAATTACATAAGTAGTAATCATTCGGAATTACACGATCTCTCTGAAGCATTATGAACAATTTCAAAAAGTTTAAGCAGGTTTCGAACTAATTTTCTCAATCCACAATGTTGATATCGTTACTTTCCAATGGACTTTGATACTTTTTAATTAGGGTATCGGTACCCCTTAAAAATTCCATTATCAAATTGACAAACTCTAATAGACATCACAATTTAGGTATCAATACTCTTTCAAGGCTATTGATACTCGATGAACAATTCACTCAGATTTATCGTACAAATACATCGAGCATTGATACTTGATGAACAATATTGATACTAAATGACCTAATTCGGCTAAAAAAACACCCTAACTTGACCCTGAACACTTCATTTGACGCCTAAAATGATCACTAAGGCTATAGGCATTACAATTACATAATTTGTCATCATCTATTATTAATTTAAACGTAAAATTCATCATAAGATCATCGATTATGTCTCTAACTAAACACATTAAACATATATTTTAACTCACAAACCACTACATTTATGATTCATATGAGATTTACTAAGAATAAAACAGTATTACATTAAGCAAAACATAAAAAAGAAAGTTCATTGATCATCGCTTCAACACTTCCCTTTTCCATTGATTTTGAAGGGCTCTCCTACTACATTCACTAGCCATAACACAACCAAAGTATGAATGACATGTATATTATAAACTTATAACCTCCATACCTTTCAAATCCCCTTTGAACCCTCTTAAAACCTAAACTCGTTCTAAACTTTAAACTCTCAATTCATTCAACCCTTTCCATTGAGATTCATAGCTCATTTTGAAGCTTTAGAGATGAAGACGATTATTCTTACATTTAAAATTTGAAAAAAAAATTGGAAGAAGAAAAAGTAAGTGATGGATGTATGGGGAGGATAAGGTCACAAGATAGCTCTTGTCTCCCTCTACCCCACATTTTGACTCCAAATTAAGGACAAACATCTTATTTGTTTTTCCCAAGGGAAAATGTCACATTTAGTCCCCTGTTTTTTTCACATTCGAAACTCTTCTTTAGAAATCATCAATTGGGTTCAATCGTCATCGGATTGGGTTGATTAACAACTAAATATATCTCGAATCACCAAATTCTAAGTTTGAGTCAACTCTTAAATGTTAGCTCGAAATTTTCAGGTCGTTACATTTTTTGGGTTTTGGCTTTGAAGAAATTAGTAAAACTATAATTGAGATTTATTTTATAATGAAATGTTGGGGTCAAGGAGGGGTGTGCCGTGTGCGTGTCCATATAAAAAGGCGACAACGACAATTGAGCAAATAGACGACGACAATGGGGAAATAATGTTGTGGAAGATCAAGATTTGGCGGAGGGATTGAGATTTCGTTTGATCGAATTAATAGAAATTTTAAATATTGATAATTTATTAAATTATTTCATATTATGACTAGTTTAATAAATTGTGTACGTTTTGGGACCAAACTATTATTATAATATCACATCACTATTTTCTCTAAATCAACCCGTCAAACCTAACAATTGGTGACCAAACAGAAATAAATCAAAACATTAGGTATGATTTAAAAAGTAGTTGGGTTACCAAAATAAAAACATTATTAGGTGGAAAACCAAATAAGTAATTTAGCCTGTTTATTAATATTTATCTAGGATTCTTATTTAAAATTCTAAAAATAAAGTTCAAAATTATAAACTAAACACGTCAATAAATTACCACACATCAATATACACAAACACGGTTCTACAGAGGTTTTGCAAATCAATTGATAAATAGATTTTTTTAAAGATAGTGTGTTGTATTAATCAAATTATATTCTTCTTGTTTTGGTGATATCATGAATCTAAAATAGAAGAACAAACCACTAGTTTAACATTTGTCCCAACCATTACCCAAGCTTTTAGGGTAATAGATTGATTCATACATGGTTCGGTTCATAAATTAATGAGCAAAATATGCTAACGGTCCAACGAATGCAGCATTAATGTAAGTAGCAGGTTCGGAATGGGCATAATCAGACCGATCATCTGGGAATCCATCATTCTGATTCGGACCTCCACCACGGCTCCAACTAAAACGTTAGGATTCGGGTTAGCGAGTAGAAAATGGCTGGAAACCAGCATCACATCCATACTCTGAGGGGCCTCGACAAGAAGGCAGTGAAGAACCTCTGTGGTGAATTCTCTTTGGGAAATTGGGCCCAAAGCCGACCATGTACGACATTTTAATTGGATTCTCCCCCAGTATGTAATTCACTTGTCTTCTTGCAAGTCCAATGAGTTTATTTGGAGTAACAAAGAGACTGCCACAGTTAAACGTCTGCTTTCTGGCTTTCATGTACTTGCCATACGTGGTGAGTAAAAATGTTATGGATGTAACATATTGAAGGTTGCTTTCAGGTAGCTTGTACATTAGTCCTCCTGCAGTTCAATTTATATTCACTTCAAAACAAACGAACTGCTAGAATGTACTAATAGAATATAAAATCCTCCAAATTACCTTGTGTGTATTGAGTAGTTGAATAAGGAGAATTGGGTAAGATTCTACACATGAAACTCTCGGCTTGTTGCTTGAATTGCTCAAAGTTTTTATCCTTGTCCAGCAATGCACGCTGCAATAATTGAATGAAAATAATAAACTAAATTGAGTCGCGTGTATAGAGAAAGGTAAAATTGGATGGAAGGATATGAAGTTAATTACCCTGGATAAAAGAACATAAGCACCAGCATATTTGTTGTCCCAGCTGAAGATGTCGGGTTGATCATTAGCTCCCAATGTTTTCAAGAAATTATAGTAAGCATCATTCGTTGCCCTTAACAACCATGAGGCACCCCAGAGCAACTCATCCTTATACCCCGAGTATGAGCAGTAAAAAGGGCAGACTGCTGATCCAAGTGAGTCACTGTATGCGCCACGATATTGAATAGCAAACGCCATTACTTTCCTTGCTGTTTGAAGCAACAACGCGAGTATTTGGAATCCACTTTCCGGAAAACCAGGGAGGCAGCTGCCAATGCAGCAGCCGTCTCGGCAGCAACATCTGAGCCAGGGTTGCTTGGGGAAACAGAGTACACAGTTCGGATAGTGCTCATGTCCTCAGGACGCTGCCAGCACTTGTGATCCACATTAGGGTCACCCACACCAACATAGAGCTTGCCAGGGTTGGCTCTGGCACATTTCAGAAGATAGTCAGTCGCCCAGCGGATTGCAGCCCTTGCCTCTTGTAACTGGGGACCCATTCTCTTTCCATATTCAAGTGTGCTCCATGATAGCATTGTGGTGGTGAACGCCATCGGGAAGTTGAACTTCACGTTGTCTCCGGCATCATAGTAGCCTCCAGTTAAATCCACCTGATTTCGACACAAAATGCAATTTATTTTATTATATTTATCTGCAGAATATATGTATATGGCGACCAAAAATAAAAGTGAGAATCAGCGACATACATGGTCAAGGGAACCATCAGAAAGGCCAGAATTTGACCTCCAAGAAACCTGCTGGTTGGCAGGCAGCCTTCCTGACCTCGTCCCTGGAAAAAGAGAAGGGATTTAAGCAATGCATCTTTATAATTTGGATTTCCCTCCACACCAACACCATTTCCCAACACTAATAGTGTCATGAAAGATAGACAAGAAGAGTTTGCTAGCCATTGCCTTTGCCATTTGGTTCTTTTTACTTGGGTTTAGTTGGAAAATTGCATGACCATTTATAGGAGAATTGTGCTCAAATCTCAATGGAGCAAAATCAGGCTTTTATACAGAGAATCAATAATCTTTAATGTTGTTTAACATCTCTTCCATTTCAAAAAACAAATGTTTATTTAAACAAAAATGTGAAACATCTTGTTGTGTACATGTCAACACATTGATATTGAAGATATAATGGCTGCCGAGTGATTAATTGCTTAATTTTAACAGCAGTTGACCAATTGGAATCTTTCCCATTAACACTCTTTCTTCCGGTTTTTCAGATTATTACTTACTTTGACCCTACTCTTCCGATCTCTATCTTCTTCTTTTCATTCGGCTCCATGTGTTCAAGGAGACTACAAACAGAGTTTGGATTAGATACATGAACATATTCTCTCCCTTAACTACTACTCCCAACTCTACACTTAAACCACAATTTTCATAGGTTAAACGTCGTGTAAAAAATCAAATAAAGAAAACGAAATATAAGAAAGGCATAAAAGAAATTTTAACCCCCGATGTTTATAACTTTATCAAATTGATCCCTCTGTTTTTAAAAAAAATCAATTTTTTTTTAGTAAATTGTTGACAAAACATTAAAGTTTCAGAAACAGATTCCAAATCAGCGCTTTAAGAATGGAAAATGTAGGACCAATGCGCAGATGAATGGATTAGAAAAAGTGGTGCCTTGGTTTTTTTTCATGCAAGACTCCTCCTCGGTCAATGGGAAAGCAAAAGAAAAGTAGAAAGAATGATGATTTTCTGGTGCTAATTGGCGGAAACTGGGCTTCACGTTTCGCTAATGAAAAAAGGGGGGCGTGAGCGTGATTGACTGCCGCGTTCTTTGGGCGTCTCGCCCAAGGATCGCGCAAGGATTTCGGCGCGCCAAACTTCATCAATAATTCTTCAAAACGGATAACGATTATTACAATTAAGTATTATTAGTGTTTCAGATATTTGCAATTACTTTTATATTTTTTAAGACATATTATGATTTTTTAAAAATATAATTATATTTTTGTTTGAATTTGTTGGGGTCATCTTACTTTGATTCCATTCCATTCCATCCTTTTTCTCTTTTTCTACCATACTTACGACCAATCTTTTACTCTTTAATAATGCATTCCTCCTTTTCTTTAAACTTAAATAATCTTTATAAAAAGCAAGAAGGGGATAATCATTCATAAGAGGATTATTTGTTTAATCTAGTCTGTTAAATAAGTAAAATTAATGAACATCCGCTCAACTACATTATCTAAAAATTAAATTTTAATTGAATTCATTAAAGGATGTCCATGATAAAAGATAATATTATTCTTAATGATTCGAGCTCGAAGAGTTTTATTTATAAGATGTGTACGTTGTCAATAATAGGAGATATACGTGTACCTCATGAAATCTGAATTTGTTTCGATTATTTAGTTATTTTATTGATATTGTTCACCCTGAATTGTTATATGTGTTCATCATCCAAAAATTGTGTCATTAACGTATGTATTCATCCTTAAAATATTTCTAGATTCGTTGTCAATAACTAAGAAAAAATTTAATCAAATACTATCTTATAAATTATATCAGACTATTCTAATTTTTATTCTATTTTTAATATTTAAAAGACAATAAAAATTTTATAATATACTCAAAACTTGAATTACATGTTTTATCATAAAGACGTAAATCATAAAGATTAAATTATAAAAAATGAAGCATTGTAAAATTGAATGCGCTAGCCGTGCGTTCTTGATACTTGACTGAGTACATTGCATATACTGCATGTGGATATGGTTAGTTTTATTTTCCCTCAAACTGCTTAGATGCAAGGCAAAATAGCCTTTGGCGGTTACATTATTATACAGTCATGTTAGTTTGCTTGATTTTGAAATGTTCATTAGATCGGTCTAAATGAGGGTGCAAAGTTACATTAACGTCGAACAATGATAAATTCAAACTCGAGTTTAATTTAAAAAAAATCACGGTTTTATATCAGATTTGAATTTAATAAAATATATTTTTGTATTCAATTAAGTTTGATTAATCAAATACTCAAATTCAAATTTTGTTTATACAATTATTTCATAAATTGAACTTAATAAATTATTAATATTGTAACATCTCGAGAGTATTATGGTTTGTTTGTGTCCTTGCTTCGATTTAGCTTTGTTTGGGCCTTATGTAGGTTTCATGTTGGGTTGGGTTGTTTTTATATTGAACTTATGTGTTGTTGTTTTTCGTGGAATAAAGTGTCAGATGAAAATCTTCCCCCTTTGTTGTCTTGGTTGAAGTGTAGTTCAATCAAGTTAAAAGGCAGATTTAATAAGGCCCACTTTCTTTGGGATTGTCTCAGGAAAGAGAGATTAATATACGATTAATATACGGTGTTACCGGATACATTAAAAGATATTTGATAAATTAGGTTTAGCGCTACCAGAAATATTGAATAATAATAATGTAATAGGCGGAAATCATGAAGAAATATTAAAAAATTTGGCAACTCGCAAACTTAGCTTGTCGGTTTGTGTCGATATTTTATAAAAATGTATTGATCCATAACAATATAACAGGTAAAAAAATGATAAAACCGGTCTATAAATTACAAAACATGTAAAGCGCTACCGGATATATTGAAAGTGTCGATACTTTATAAAAATGTATCGATCCATAACAATATAACAGGTAAAAAAATGACAAAACCGGTCTATAAATGACAAAACAGGTAAAGCGCTACCGGATATATTGAAAGTGTTGATACTTTATAAAATGTATCGATCCATAACAATATAACAGGTAAAAAAATGATAAAACCGGTCTATAATGACAAAACAGGTAAAGCGCTACCAGATATATTGAAGTGTCGATACTTTATAAATGTATCGATCCATAACAATATAACAAGTAAAAAAATGACAAAACCGGTATATAAATGACAAATAGGTAGCGCTACCGGATATATTGAAAGTGTCGATACTTTATAAAAATGTATCGATCCATAACAATATAAAAGGTAAAAAATGACAAAACCGGTCTATAAATGACAAAACAGGTAAAGCGCTATCGGATATGTTGATAGTGTCAATACTTTATTATAAGTATCGACACTTTTGGAATTTAAAAGAGAAGAAGGTATAGCGCTAATAAGTGTCGATACTCTATAAAATGTATCGATCCATAAACATGTAAAAATATGACAAAATCGGTCTCGAAATGACAAAATCAGTAAAGATTTACCAGATATGTTGAAAGTGTCGATACTTTATTATAAGTATCGACACTTTTGGAATTTAAAAGAAAAGAAGTTATAGCGCCAAGAAAGTGTCGATACTTTATAAAAATGTATCGATCCATAACAATATAACAGGTAAAAATATGAAAAAATTAGTCTCGAAATGACAAAAAAAAGTGTGCTTGTGTGGTCATTTTTATTTCAGAATTTTCATTTTTAATACAAAAAATTAGATATTTTAAGCAAAACTCAATAAAAAAGAATAAAAACTTTACAGTAACAAAAGAATAGCATTGGGAAACCCACCATGTTATTTGTTTCTCAAAGAACAAAAACCCAGAAACAAGTAAATTTACAATGTAACCGGTAAAAATATACTGGTTAATTAGCAAATAGGTTTACATTATGTATCGACGCTCTTTAAATATGTGTCGATACTTTTTTCTAATATTTATTTATAGAAATAAGTACTTGAATGCAAATGAAACTTTCAGAGAAATGAATCTATTCAATCTCGTGATGACCTCGTCACGGTTGTCCACCTTGCCTTACGCCCATCCACTAGGATGCTCAATATAAAATCAGGCAGTCGAAGGGCCATTCTTATACCACTTGGTTAAGGTTTATTATGGTAAATCATATGATTTTAAGCCCAAAATCATTAGTTGTATGCTTAAGTTAGACTTGTTAGTGTTATGTATACAAGCTTATGCATGTGTTGTGTGAGTTCTAGAAGTCAGTTCTAGAATAGTTTGTTAGCTCCTTGTTACGAGCAGTTAAGTTGTTAAACTTCTTGTTAACAACAGTTACCTTTCTCTTTGCTACTCTCTAACTCAAGAGAGATTAGCTTTTTCATTAATAAAGAATTACAAAGATTTCATTTCATTTATTGTTTCTTAGATAGCTAAACTGCTATCTTATCATGGTATCTTTCGGCAAATACCTGGGTGTTTTCTTCCGCTGTTTCTTCTTCATTCCAATAGCTGCACGAGATTAAGTTCTCACATTGTGTATTCTTGGCGTCATGGTTGATTTGACGGTTGATCCCGACGATGTATCTGCGAATGCTTCCTCCCTGAGTCATGGAACTTCTCGAGGTATGTTTGGTATTCAACACATACCAAAGCATGACACTGTTAAACTCACTGAATCCACATACCTTCTTTGGAAGCATCAAGTGGCTTTGATAATTGATGGCTATGGGTTGCTGAGGTTCATCTCTGCCGGTTCTGTTGCACTAGATGAGTTCATCACTAATGCGTTTAGACAACTTGAAGAGAATCCATTGTTTGCTGCTCATCGTCAACAAGATAAACTGCTTGCTTCCTGGCTTTTAACTACTGTGAGTACAGAGGTTTTGCCTCACTTGACCGGATTTACAACTGCAATGTCAATCTGGAATACTATATCTCGTCTGTTTGGTGCTCGTTCCAGTGCAAAGATTTTTTCTCTTCGACATAATCTTCATTCCCAGCGAAAGACTGGTTTGACGATTAGGGAGTATCTTGCCAAAGTCAAATACATATGTGATTTGTTGAATGCTTCAAGTAGTGTGGTTACTGAGCAAGAACATGTTAATGTTGTGTTAGCTGGACTTACAATGGAATTTGAGTCTATTATTGCAATTGCATCACGATAAAATTTTTCTCTTGATGTTCTTACTGAGATGTTGTTAGATTGTGAGGCTCGACAGAAGATGTTCTTGAGTGAAAAATTCTCTGCAAATCTTGTTCTTCAATCTCGGGAAGGTGTTGCTGCTGAAACTAACTCTAT